ATATGTTTACCACATGTATGTACTTGTGCATTATAAGTATGCACCTCGAGGTTTGGATCAATCCGTCGCATGTGAACTCGTGAAGTGGCAGCGGCACAAATTTTACCTCTAAACCGGCTTTTCACGACGAAAGGCAATAATGATAGGCGGAGGCATCGCGGAAACATCTCATCCCCTGGCGCAAACAACTGCTCTGCCACCAACGGTGCGAGCCCGGCCAACCGCAAGTACCTGAGACCAGCCGGATCGCTAGGCCTCACTCTGGAGCATGTTGTCCTGCTCGTCCAGGAGAGCGCATTCAGTGGCCGAGAGCTTGGTGAAATTCTGAAGGCAGACGCAGATCTGAGACCGACGCGCAGTGCGACGGGTGTCGCAGAGGTTGTCGAGGCAGCGGAAGCAAGTCTGGATCTGGGTGCCGCATACTTGGCAAACACCGCTTGCCAAGCAAAACTCGCGCTGCTGAGAACGTAGGCCGTGCTTCGAACCGGCGTGCGACTGCAAAGCACGACAAGAAGCAACAAACATTCCTCATGTCGTGCATGAGTATGTCACGGAATACGGGCTGGGAGCTGGGAGCGGGCAGCGGGCTGGATGCGGAGTCACAAGGAGAGGAGGCAAAGTGAATGCACTTGAAAGCATCAGAGAACTGTCCTACCATGATCTGTATCCGAGGTGCTCCGTCGACTATGGGGTCGGGTATGTGCGTGCACAACGTGGCCGTGCGCCAGAGGCACCAGAGGTCCTCCCCGGAGCTGAGCCACCCAGGGAATGCCAGCTTCCCCCTAGTGGGCCCCAAGCAGCCCCAAAAACTCAGAGGGCTGACAGCACAGTCCAACCACGTAAACATACACATACACACGGATATAACCATCTACACACATACAAATATACATACACACACACATTTACACAGACATATACACATACACATACACATATACATACGCATAGACATACACCTTTATATATACACCGAGTCATAGGAACATTGACACATTTATATACGCATGCATATACATTCATACAGACATACGCATACATATATATATATATATATATATATATATGTGTATACATGCGCACATGCATACATACCCACACACACATATACATATATATATACTGACAGACATGCAGTCATACAGAGCATACATCCATGTGCACATACATATAGACATGAGTGAATCTATCGGTATGTTTATATATATATATATACACATATGTGTATAGTTTGGTTTCTGTCGATCTTTTCTTGTCCGCGACTCGTGAGGCATCGCCGATCGACCAGCGTCAGGCCTCCGATGGCGAACCCGCGCGCTCCTGGGCCAGGCGGGCTGTCGAGACGGCGATAACTGGTGGATTCGGGGTCGCTCCCTGAGCGCTCCCCGGCGCTCCCCGCGCGCTGCCCACGCGCTCCCCGGCGCTTCCGGGCACTTTCCCGGGCACTTTCCCGGCGCTCCCCGGCGCTCCCTGGACGCTCCCCGGGCTCCCCGGGCCGCCCCGGGCGCTCCCCGGGCGCTCTCCGGGGGTCCTCGGCGCTCCCCGGCGCTCCCCGGCGCTCCCTGGGCGCTCCCCGGCGCTCCCAGGGGTTCCCTGGCGCTCCCCGGGGCTCCCGGGCGCTCCCCGGGGCTCCCGGGCGCTCCCCGGGGGTCCCGGGCGCCCCCCCCCGCACTCCCCGGCGCTCCCTGAGGGCTCCCCGGGCGTTCCCCGGGCGCTCCCTGGCGTTCCCCGGGGCTCCCCCCCGGCGCTCTCCCCGGAGCTCCCTGGCGCCTTTCCTGGTGCAGTGCTCTAAGGAAAAAACGGAGCAGAAGTCTGAGCAGAGATCTGAGCAGAAATCGAAACACAACTCTGCGCAGAAATCTGAACAGAAGTCTCAGCAGAAATCTGGGCAGAAATCTGAGCAGAAATCTGAGCACAGCTCCGAGCAGAAATCTGAAGAGAGAGTTGAGCAGAAATCTAAAGAGAAATCCGAACAGAAATCTGAGCAGAAATCTGAACCCAAATCTGAACAAAAATCTGGGCAGCCCGGGCTCCCCCCCTCTGCTCCCCCGGCCCCCCCCGCCCCCGGGCTCTCCGGGCCCTCTCCCCGGGCTCCCCTGGCTCTCCCCGGGGCCCCTGGCGCTCCCTGCAGGAGCGCTCCCCGGCGCTCCCCGCGCGCTCCCCCGGCGCTTCCGGGCACTCCTCGGCCGCGCTCCCTGGACGCTCCCCAGGCTCTTTGGGGGGCGCTCCCCCCCGGGCGCTCCCCGGGGCTCCTCGGCGCTCCCCGGGGCTCCCTGGCGCTCCCAGGGGCTGCCCGGCCGTTCCCCCCGGCGCTCCCCGGCGCTCCCTGGGCGCTCCCCGGCCGGCGATCCCTGGGCGCTCCCCAGAGCTCCCCGGCGCTCCCTGGGCGCCTGGGCGCTCCCCCCCCGCGCTCCCCGGCGCTCCCTGGGGGCTCCCCGGGCGTTCCCTGGCGTTCCCCGGGGCTCCCTGGCGCTCCCCGGGGCTCCCTGGCGCTCCCCCCCCCCCCCGGCGCTCTCCCCGGAGCTCCCTGGCGCCTTTCCCGGTGCAGCGCTCCAAAAAAAAATATCCCGGAAAAGCAACCTATCAGCGATATGTAGGAGCATATCTGGAAGCATTCCCCTTAAGATTCAAATGAGAATCCAGTTGTAGAATTCTGTTGTTCTCGCAGTCGTAGTCGCATTCGCTATGACAGTCGCAGCGGCAACGGCAGTCGCAGTCACAGCCTCAGCCTCAGCCTGCCTCAGCCTCAGCCTCAGCCTGCCTCAGCCTCAGCCTGCCTCAGCCTCAGCCTCAGCCTGCTTCAGCCTCAGCCTCAGTCTGCCTTCAGCCTCGGCCTCAGCCTCAGCCTGCCTCAGCCTCAGCCTGCATCAGCCTCAGCCTCAGCCTCAGCCTGCCT